TATATATATATATATATATATATATATATGTGTGTGTGTGTGTGTGTGTGTGTGTGTGTGTGTGTGAAAGAATATCTACAACCATACCTTTAGATTAAAAAAATCATGTAAAACAATATTTTATGATTGGTCTTTTATGGGATTGTAATATTTTAGTGATTCTCATTTTGCATGTGTTATGTATATCATTACAAAAAAATAAACATATTATTCCATTCAGACATTTTAATCGGGTACTTAATTAGACGTTTAGGTTTAAAGGCCAAATTTGTGTGTCGTACACAAAGATGTTTCAATAAGTTGTTAAAACGAAACTGAATAACCTAATAAGTTATATCTTTATTGTGACAAAGTTGAACAACCTAAGTAAAACTCATATTAACCTTTTAATGAAATATTTCTTAAAAAATATTTATAAAAAGTGACCGATAAATACTATTATAACATTTTAATTAGATTGCTCAACTTTTCATAATAACCTAATTGATTACAAGGATATAATTTGTTAGGTTGTAGAACATTGTTCTAATAACTTAATGTGACCTTTATATAAGATTTATTTATGGTCATATAAACTTATTAAATATTCTATTAAATTGATTGTATATTAAAATAAGCTTATTTCATGTTATATATGCATGCAACTGTTTATTAAGGGAGGATCAAACAAAAACAAGATCAAAATAATATAACAAGAAAATAGTCAAATCAAATGTGATGTTAATGTAAAATCATATGTGATTCGACCATTTTTATATTTTTTTTAGTTACTATTCTCGTACGTATTTGACTCTGTGTTTATTCTATATATATATATATATATATATATATATAATCATATATGTAGTTTTCTTTTTGAAAAAACCAATTCTAGGTGAAATTTATATATGACTATATTATATACGCATTGTGAATATATTCATTATAATTATTCATGTGTTGATGAAATTTATATAGTATCTATTCATCAATGAATACATCATATTATATATGGTTCTCCCATAAGGGTTAGTTTCTGGTGAGAGAGAGTAAGGTGAGAAAGGATCTTCATCTTTGGATGCACAGTAGGATGAGATGTACCGAAATGCATCAGATCAAATATCCGTATTAAATGCGATTCATGGGTGAATTTAAGATTAAAGGTGATCAAGGATCTAGATCTATTCTTATGTATCTCAATCTTAACTCTCTTTGATACTAAACTATCCAATATATCCATCCACCTGAATTTGAATTGGGTTCAAGAGAATTACTCCCAATCTTGGTCTTTATTTTTAGTTAACATCGTACTCAACAATATGAATGAAGATCTTGCAAAAACTTGTTTGATTGTCATTGTCATAACTTCTTTATGTAATACTCGTTTGATGGTTTGTGTCGAGCTGATATGAGAGACTCCGACACTTTTGATCTTTGCAGTATGGAGAAAAGAGAGGGGGAAGATGGACGTAATCGAGTCAAGGGGTCGTCTAAGTCGAATCGAAATAAGAGAAAGGCAACATTTGCAAAGAAAATGGAATTCATTGGATGGGGATCGAGGCCTCTAGTAGCGTTTCTCGTTTCAATCGGCAAGGACCCGAGTAAACCGCTTTCTCAACAAGCGGTCGCTAATATCATCAACAAATACGTGCTCGAATCGAACCTCATTCACCCAGAGAAAAAAAGACAGGTTGTATGTGATGAAAAGCTTTCTTACCTTTTTAGAAAGAAAACAATTACTCGAAACCGAATCCATGATCTATTGGATCCTCATTTCCCTGATAACTACGAATCTTCCGAAGACGATTCTGAAAACTATCAGAAAGTCGACACTGGTTTGCCATTTGAGAAGCAGTTGGTTTCTGGGACGGAGGTGATGGGGGCTAGTTTTCAGATGGAAAAAGAATTGGAAACTTCGAAAATGAGCTTTGCAGCGATCGTTCCGGAAAAAGAAATCGGAAGTCCGAAAACCCGCTTTGCAGCCATCGTTCCAGAAAACATAAAACTGTTGTATCTGAAGAGGACATTGGTTGAAGATCTTCTTAGGAATTGTGAGAATTTTGGAAAGAGATTGATTGGAAGTTATATCAGGATAAAATCCGACCCAAATGACTACTTGCAGAAGAACTCTTACCAATTGCATCCCGTTACAGGTAATCTTGTAAAGCATTCTATTAAGACATTTAGACATATATGTTGGTGATCGTCTGATTGAATAAGCATTCTTTAAATGTGTATTCAGCTGTAAATTAATATTCTGCAGGTGTTAAGACTATAGCTGAAAATGGTGAGAATGTGGGTAAAGAGGTTTTTCTTCAAGTTCCAAATATGATGAAAGACATTTCTATTGGCATGCTGTCTGATTGCAACTTCTCTAAGGTATATATTAATAAGACATGAGTTACAATTTGAGTTTTATTTACACAAGACAAGCATACATCAATCTTAATGTAATAAGACATGTTGTAACAATTGGTCGGTCCCATACAGACAGATAGAGAAGTAGACTTGTGAGCACCACGTAAGCTCAAAGTTATGAGCTACCAATAATTTCTATCATGGTTTTAAATTGAATCCAAAGTTATGGGGTCGGGATGTATTTTTAGGCTTTGGGGGGTTACATCCGCCCTCTTACCATATATGCATTTTTATTCGCTTTTTCTCTATTGTTGTTCGAATTCTATGCAGGAAGAATGTGACGATTTGCTTCAAAGAGTTGAAATGGGTTTACTTAAGAGGCCTACAGTTGTAAGTTTCGTTATCGTACACACGAAATTGGGTTTTCAGGACACCAACAATGTCTAAGTATCCTAATAGATCGCTCTATTGGTCACCAACAATGTCTAAGTATCCTAATAGATTGTTTTATAGGTCTTAAGTTTATAGGACTAAACGATAAATCATCCAAAAAGTGTTGCAAAAAAATTTATAGGACGTTTTAACAAACTTTTTAGAACTTTTTTAAAATAAAGCATCGTATTTTATTTGTTATTTTATAAACATTGTTTGGACAAGTATCCTATAGAAAAATATGTTATATGACACTTCTCAAAGATGTCCTATAAAACAGCTAATATAATGATTTATTTTAAAATTGTTCAAAAAAACTTGTTAAAAAAATCAAAGCGTCCTATAAATTATTGCAATGCCCTTAGATAAGACGGTTTTGTTTAGTGCTATAAACTTAAGACGTATAAAACGATCTATTAGGACACTTAGACATTGTTGGTGTCCAATAAACCAGATTTTGTTGTAGTAACATTAGCTTCAGTTCATCCTAATAAATTACTAATGAGACTTTAAGTTTATAGGATCGACAACTGCTCTTATATTCAATGATGTTACAATAACCTAACAAGTTTTGATTTGGCAGGGAGAAGTTGAAAAGAAGGCCATAATGCTGCATGAAGATATAACAAAACATGTAAGTCATCATATATATATATATATATATGTGTGTGTATAATTGATTTCTCTTTTGGTTAAAATGCATTATATATAACTGAACTCTATTGAATTTCTACAGTGGATTCCTAGAGAACTCATCCATCTGCAAAACCATATCGATCGAGCCAACGAGAAAGGATGGCGCAACGAATATCCTTTGCTAATTCATGTAAAACAAACTCAATGGTAGTTTGCAGGAAATCTGTTTTCATTCATATATGAATCCTTAACTTTGTTTTAGAATTCACATTACATGAGTATCTTGAAAGAAGGGAAGTGCTGAAGAAACCATCTGAACAAACAAGATTGCTGCTTGAGGTTCCAAAGGTGATTGCAGATACCATACAGAAAGAACCCACATTGCTGATCACAGACAAGATCTAAGTTTACAAGTCCGTCTGAATCGATTCAATCGCAGTCTTTGATTGCCTTTCTTGCAAGCAAGAAGTTTGCTTCTTTTAAACTTATCAGGATCAAACTTCATTATTCTGTCATCCTAAAATTTTGCCTTCAGCTTTATGACTTTGTGTTTTGGATTTAGTTCTGTTGGTTTACTGATATTGTCATTGGGCTTTTTAGATTTTGTGTGGATCCTAATTGTGTTTGTTTGAAAAAACATCACTCTAATGGCTCTTTATTAGGTCTACGTATGAGTCGGGCATAAGACATTTGAACAACCTATCTCAATGTTTGCAATTTGAAAAATCTCAATCCAATCTGGCCCAAAAAACTGTATGGTTGGATTTGGTGGTCGAGTTAAAACTTTGATACATTGTTTTACAATATAGATAAGAAGTTATGCTTAAACAAAGTAAAATTAAAATCATAACATACAAATAAAGCTAACGGTTACATATATTAATTAATAATTTAACAATCATATTAAATCTATAATATTAAAAGTCATTGAGTTTATCGGGTTGAGTCGGATTCAAATGGTCATAACTCTGTTTCAATCCAATACATATGGTTTAAATATTTTACAACTAGATTAGGTATCAAGTAACTTCAGGTTGGGTTGGGTTGTGTTCAGTTATTTCAGGTTAGGTTGGTCGGTTTTTTGAGCACCCCTATGTAACACCCTTAAATTTCGAAAGAGCGATGTTTGGGTAAAAATTATTAAAGTCATGACCGACGTTAGAAACAAATGACCAAGTATATATCATGGATAAGAACTATCGACCAAATACATTGAGATTAATAATCGTCACTATTGACAATAATCATATAATAAAACCTACGACTACAGAATACATCGAGATTAATAATCGTCACTATTAATAAATGTTCCAAATACATGATTAACTCAAAACATCTCTTTGTTGGGACAAATTATTTTCCAATTAAAACCATACCGTTTATATTTCCAGAATATCCTATAACACAATAATATGCATTTTCCAAACAAATACACAAAAAGCATTTATCACCAAATAATCTTCACTTAAAGGATAAATCATTAAAAGAACCCACACTTATGATTTCACTATCAACATGTCCAAAAAAGCCAGTATTTTACATGATTTATAAAACCAAATATACCAAATACGCAAAACTCACCAAATAACCCACACATTTGATATACAACAACTTAGCAAGTAAAACATGTTAATACTTTAACATGGACATTTTTTTGGCATATATATAGTTTTCACAAAGCAACTTCAACTCATCTTGCTATGTTAGGTTAAACCTAGGTTCCAAACTCATCTTTAGCTTCCAAAGTTGGAGACTTAAGATCCAATAACTAGACTTCCAGATCTATGGTGTAAACCTTCTCAAGAACATTTCCTTTAATCCCAAAACATACACAAACAACCCAAGAAAAGAGATGAGAGTTGGTACAAAATGACCAAACCCTAGGTTAAGAAATGGTTGGTTATAGGTTTACCTTTCGACTTCTCGGAAACCAAATTCTTCATGGATAAATTAACCTTATTTCTTTACATTTTGAACAGCTTCAAGAATCAGAACCATAGAAAAAAGAATAGCTGAAAATGGATTAGAAATGAAAAAGTTATGGCTAAAATGAAAAAAAAAATCCCAATCTTCGGTCTCTTTGTGCAGGTCAGGCCTCCACGCTAGTTCAACCTACTTAAATAGCATGAAAACTAGCCCTAGAATAAAAACCAGGCTTCCAAAGCCTGGAGCGAGTTTTGAAACGAGTTTAACTCACTTGACAATCAGCTTGCCACACTATTATATTTTTAAGTTGATATGTGACTTCTCAAGTGACCAAACTTGCATGGGAGGTCCCTTAATACCCCGGATTACTTTCAGCACAACTTTTCTTCATCCCAACACAACCAAGACTCTTGATTCAAATGCGACAAACATTTAATAATAATTGAACACTGAATGGCTTGCTACGATAGATCTACACCGTTAAAATGATTAATTGTAAAAACATGGGTGTTACACCCTACTTCCGACTAGGGGTGTACGCGGGTTGGGTTGGGCGGTTTACAACAATTTTACAACTCAACCCAATTATGGCGGTTTGGAAAAATCTCAACTCAACCCAACTCATTCAAAAATGTAACCCAACCGAACCCAACCCTTGCGGGTTGAGGCGGGTTGGGTTGACGGGTTAGTAGTTACATAATTTGACAAATGAAATAATTCATGAAACTTAAGTTTATGGATCATACTATAAAACGTCTTATCTAAAAAGATTACAATAGATTTATAGGAAGTTTTTGGACATTTCAACAAGTGTTTTAGAATGATCTTTACATAAAATGTTCTATTAGTTATTTTATAGAAATGTGTTGAGAAGTGTCCCATAAACTCATCTATTTATATATGACACTTTTTCAATTCGTGTTGTGTAAAATAACTAATACGACACTTTATTTTAAAAGCATAGTAGAATTTTTTAAGACGTCCAAAATCATCCTATAAACATATTGTATCTTTTAGACAAGACATTTTTCTAATGTAACTCTTTAAAAACATCATAGATTGATGGATTCGTCCATCAAATATCTATCAATATTATTTGTATTCTCCAACATATCAATTTGTTGTTGTTGCAAAAAAAAATCAATAATTTTCCTTATTAGTGAGATTATTTGTCATCATTCTTTGATCGTGAATCTCTTTTGGTAACCTATATGTTTAGCTAAAATGAAACAAAATATAATATCAATATAAATTATATAAAATTTATACATTAATAATATATACATAATAAACATATATATATAAATAAAATCTTATAAAAATTATATATTAACGGCGGGTTGGCGGGTTAGACGGGTTGAGCTAGGATCAACCCAATTTCAACCCTCTTAATTGGCGGGTTAGACGGGTTGAGCTAGGATCAACCCAATTTCAACCCTCTTAATTGGCGGGTTAGACGGGTTGAGCTAGGATCAACCCAATTTCAACCCTCTTAATTGGCGGGTTAGACGGGTTGAGCTAGGATCAACCCAATTTCAACCCTCTTAATTGGCGTGTTAGCGGTTTGGCAGGTGGACGGGTTGGTGGCTAGGCGGATTGGGTTCAATTAGGTTGTTAACGGGTTGGGTTAGACGAGTTTCACGGATTAACGGTTTTTTGTACACCCCTACTTCCGACATTAATTCGTTATCTTACTCCCTACATGTAAGGAGTTTCCTACAGGAGTTTTGTACTTATTTTGTTGTATTCAAAAAGTAAAAAGTTATTTAAATAATATATAGTTGTTAATGTAAGAAGTCAGATTGGATTACAGATCCCATGTGAGATAGGGGGCATGTAGAGCCCTCAAAATATTTGGTCTCACTTGTAAATGTTTTCGTTTTTAACCGATTATATATGTTTTGAGTTGAGTTATTAACATAAATAACCATTTTTTTTAAAAATAGTCACCAAAAAAGAATTCTTCAAATTTGTCCATTGACCCTCATGTCTGACACCGCAAGACAGTTTTTGCAGCATCAGACTTTTCTGACAAAATCTAGAAACAAAAATGCAAACCACAATGTAAAACCGCAGCCTGCAATGTCAAAACCACAACCGCGGTGCCAAAGATTTTTGAATCAGTATAAGTTACACTCTGAATGCTTCAAAGATTATAATATTTGTAATTTATTTCCCTTCCTTTTTTTATTTTTTATTTTCCGCCCTTATCATGTTAATTAATTATTAACTAAAATCATGTTTCTAAAAACTCATTATGGTATGTTATGGTTCAAGGCTTCGGTTCATCGCCATGCTAACTCCTATGGCTCCACTCTAAGGTTTGGCTTGCATTGTAATGCGTTATGACGCGTTATTTTATAAGGTTTGGGTTATTTTTAATATATAACTTGAAGAAGAGATGATAATTATGTACGAAACTTAAGACTTTAAATAAACATAAAATATAACTTTGAAACTGAAACCATAAATAAGTAAATACTTACTTCCTTTCCCATACACAAAGAGTCGAACACGAATTATTTTAAAATTGGAGAAAGTAGTAAGTAGAGTTTCAAAAGATTTAATCCCAAATTTTCACTATTGATATCATTTTTAATAAGCTCTATATATTGGTATGAATGGTTCTTCTTTCTTAATTAGTTTCACTAATTTAGATTAATTTAATTTGTTCTACGGCATAATTTAAACACTAACTTACATAAGCAAGTGTGTATGTATGTGTGTTTGCAACCTTAGGGCACGCCTTGACCTCACCATAACTCGTAAGACTTGAGGCTTGACCTTGCAGCATTACCATGTCCCGCGTCATTTTGAACCTTGACTTAAATACATTAAAAAGTAAGTATTTTTATTACAAATTACACCTTTGGAAAAATCTCGTCAATACCTTCAAAATGAGTCTAATATTGAATGTTTTTTAAAACATTTATATTTTGTTGGTTGCATCAGCATTAAAGCCAACTAATATCGTTGATTGTCTCATGATCTCTTTATTGTCAATCCTCATTGCTTTGACTGTGTCGAGGAAGTTGACATTTGTTGAGCCCCCTCTATCCATCAGGACCCTTTTGTCGAACAGTTCTGATGGTTAACTGAATTATAAGTCCGACGTGATGTTTTTTCATAGGTCACAGACATCTTCGTGATGTTTCCAGGTGCAATTCCATTTCACACTTGTCTGACCTATAATTAGGCGACTTATCTGGTGTTTGAACAACATGTCTTTTAGTTACAGAATACGTTTGTCCATAAACATCTAATCCACCAGTTATGTAAATTATTACCTGTGTGTTAACGGGATACGAATGTCGAACGTTGTTATTTGCAACATTATTAGTTATTAGGTCATGCAAGTGTCCTTTAAGTACCAGCCAAGAGATTTCCTTTCGTGATGTTAGACAACGGTCGGTATTGTGTCCATGATCACATGGAAGTAACACCACTTGGACTTGTCCTTCATATTATCTTGTGTCACT